TCCCCCCAACTCCCCCCATCCCCTTCCCCTGTCCCCACACCCATCCCTGTCCCCTACACTGTAGGGGGGGGTCCCCAAGTCCCCCCCTCCACTCCCCCAGTTGTGGGGGGGTCCCCGTGTGTTCTTCCCCTCTGGGGTTCCCCCTGCACTGTGGGGTCCCCCCCGTGCCCCCCCAACCCCCGTGTGTCCCCCCCACCAGACGGGACCTTCCTGGCCATTGGTTCCCACGACAACTTCATCTACATCTACTCCGTGTCTGAGGGGGGCCGCAAGTACAGCCGCTTCGGGCGCTGCACGGTGAGACTGGGGGGATTTTGGGGTCCCCGGGGGTCCCCGCGGCCCCCTCCCGACCCCCCCTCACCCCCCTGCCCTCCCTGTGGCCCCCCCAGGGCCACTCCAGTTTCATCACCCACCTGGACTGGTCCAAGGACGGGCGGTTCATCATGTCCAACTCGGGGGACTACGAGATCCTCTACTGTGAGTTTGGGGGAATGAGGGACACCCCCTTGTCCTCCTGGGGACCCCCTGACCCTGCTGGGGACCCCCTGGGCTGGAGGGCACTGGGGGGGAAAGGGGGGACACCCCCTTGTCCTCCTGGGACCCCTCTGACCCTGCTGGGGACCCCCTGCCCCTCCCTGCCCTGGGATTTTGGGGAGGGTCTCCCCACCTCCCTCCTGGATTTCGGGGGGTTTCACCACCCCCCCATGGATTTCGGGGGGTCTCACCTCCCCCCCACCCCCCAGGGGACGTTGCTGGGGGCTGTAAATTGCTCCGGAACCGCTTCGAGAGCCGGGACCGGGAATGGGCGTCCTACACGTGTGTGCTGGGATTCCACGTGTTCGGTGGGTCCGTGGGGCTGGGCAGGGGGGGATGGGGGGCTGTGTGGGGGTCCCCCTGACCCCCCTGACCCCCGTCCCCCCCCAGGGGTGTGGCCTGACGGGTCTGACGGCACCGACATCAACTCCCTGTGCCGCTCCCACGGCGAGCGCGTCGTGGCCGTGGCCGACGATTTCTGCAAAGTGCACTTGTTCCAGTACCCCTGCGCCCGCCCCAAGGTGTGTGTGCGTGTGAGCACACGTGTGAACATGTGTGTGTGTGAGCACACGTGTGAACATGTGTGTGTGTGTGAGCACACGTGTGAACGTGTGTGTGTGTGTGAGCACACGTGTGAACATGTGTGTGTGTGAGCACATGTGTGAACATGTGTGTGTGCGTGTGAGCACACGTGTGAACATGTGTGTGTGTGTGAGAGCACACGTGTGAACATGTGTGTGTGTGTGTGTGAACATGTGTGTGTGTGTGTGTGTGAGCACACGCGTGAGCGTGTGTGTGTGTGTGTGAGCACACGCGTGAACATGTGTGTGTGTGTGAGCACACGTGTGAACATGTGTGTGTGTGTGAGCACACGCGTGAACATGTGTGTGTGCGTGTGAGCACACGTGTGAACGTGTGTGTGTGTGAGAGCACACGTGTGAACGTGTGTGTGTGTGCGTGTGAGCACACGTGTGAATGTGTGTGTGTGTGAGAGCACACGTGTGAACATGTGTGTGTGTGCGTGTGAGCACACGTGTGAACATGTGTGAGCACACGCGTGAACATGTGTGTGTGTGTGTGAGCACACGTGTGAACGTGTGTGTGTGTGTGTGTGTGTGTGTGTGTGTGAGCACACGTATGTCCGTGTAAACACGTATGGATGAGTCCATGGCCACACGTGTGCACTAACACGTGCCCAGCCGTGTCCCGCTCCCACAGGCCCCAAGCCACGCGTGGGTGTGTGGACACGTGCGGTCACGTATGAACACGTATGAACATGTATGACCCCCCCCCGTGTCCCCGCAGGCTCCCAGTCACGTGTACGGGGGCCACGGCAGCCACGTGACCAACGTGCGGTTCACCCACGACGACGGGCACCTCGTGTCCCTGGGGGGCAAGGACACCAGCGTGTTCCAGTGGCGGGTGCTGGGGGGCGACCCCGACCCGCGCTGAGCGACCCCCGCCCCCTCCTCCTCCTCCTGCCCTTCCTCGCTGCTTCCTCTTCCCCTTCCCCTGCCCGGGACCAAAAGGGGGGGTCGTTTCCCCCCCTCGATTTCGCTGCACTGTGAGAGGCGCCAATAAAGCCTTTGGGGTCAGGGCCGGGCCCCGCCGCTTCCTCCGCCGCGGGAACTGGAGCCGGGACCGGGAGTCGGGAACTGCACCGGGAAACGGGACCGGGTCGGGAACCAGGAACGGGAGTGGGAATGGGAATGGGGAACGGGATCGGGAATTGCGGCGGGAAACGGGAGCGGGACCAGGAACCCGGAAATGCGCCGGGAAGGGCCCCGGGCAGGGCCGTCACTTCCCGGAAGCGCCGGCGCTTCTTCCCCCCCAACCCCCGGAAAGAGCCGAGGGGTCGCGGAAAGAGCCGAGGCCGA